TCATAAATCATGCTGGTATTTAAGAACCCCTGTACCAGTGTCTTCAAATTTTAGAAATTTTAAGAGAATCATTTATTTAAAATATGATTTTGTAATAGAAAATTCATAAAGTTGTCTACCATTCGACCGTTGGATGAATAAAATGGCTGCAAATTGGAAACGAAGATTACGTTCGCACGAACCTTTTTATTGGCACGTTGTAGTGTAAAAGACAGGAATAATAAAAAGTTCAACGTTGTACTCGACACTTTATAACGTTTCTAACAAAATTAAAATTATTTAGAAATCAGGATTCGCTCGTTCTGAGGAAAAAAACGATGCAAGTTCGAAGCGCCGATCGTCAGTGACCACCGGGACGTTTAACGCATTAATCTTACACGCTAAGCTGCTCGTAGTTACCGTTATATTTTGTAAAATTCCCTGTATATTACAGGATTGACTAGATTAAGCTATTTGCGGAGCATTCGTCCCTTCGAGATAATTAACTACGTTTTTACGAGCTATATTCATGCTGGCTGCGTAATACATAGCGTTTAAATGGAAATATTTCGCGGAACGTCGTCGTAAAAGCTTCACAGCTTTTTCCAAATGCGAATAATTGAACGTTCGAGGAACGTTTAAGTCTTACACATTCTTTCCGATACGTAAATACCGTAGAGCTTTTGAAAGTTGTCACGGGTTGCCCAAAGGCGAACAAAATATGAAATGTTTCTTCGCGTAAGTTAGCTTTAATTTTACTTTTAACTCCCGACGAACAGGTAATTGCTTCCTACGTAAACATTATTCCATTTAGTAAACTTCTCTATCGACGCGTTTCATACCTCTTGGCCCTTGCGATTGCCATCTCGAAAGTTATAAGTGGTTGGAAACAATTATAGCCAATTGTTCGATGAAATTGCCAACGCGCGGTGATTTTTTTTTAGTTTAACAGTCTCGATGTTTACGACGAGAGACCAGCCCCGCGAACGACCAGCAACGATCAAACTTTTTCCAGTAACTGTTTAACGATCGAGGTTTGCGATGGTGTTTTTAAACATCCCTCCGTTTCCGTTGGATTTTAAACCCTCGACGTTCACATTATTTTGGCCTAACTTATTGAATTTGATTTTGCACTACGCAACAACGTGTCTTCTGTTAATTATTACCTTGTATCGTATTCCATCGGTCGAGCAATTTTATCTGTAAACAATTCTGATTTCTCTTCACACGGTGCGCTGATAAAATTCTCGAGATAATTAATTACACTGATAATGTTCGCTACAGATAACGAAGTTCGTCAACAATTACATAGCAGAATTCGATCTACGATGTTCTGGATTCTGGTGTTGCCTGTAGCAACGGGAAACGATTATTGTCCTAGTTAACATGAAACGAGTAGATTAGTAGTAAATTCTAACGCGCAATTCAAACGTCAAAATTCAAATTGGCACGTAAAACGTGTAGCTACGACTGTTTCGCTTTCTAATGAGGCGTCGTGCATGGCGCAGAAAATACATACGTCTTCGCATAAACGCGAAGCAACGAGCAGAAAGCCTCATCTTCGTTTGAAACGTTTCGATATTCGTTGTAAAAGTATAAACGTACTTTTTATTGTTTTTCTAATTTTAACGGGAAGCTTAGCGTCGATTTCCGGGGATCGACGTAATGTTTAATATGTCGAGGATATGATTTCATAATTACAGATTACATATCCGGATCAGGCTTTTGTACGGTCAGATACGATTAATTTAATACGGTTTATTCGATTATCTGAACGTCAAATGTAATGGCTCGCGTGTTTCAATTAATTACGACATACTTTCGATCACGTGCATTGAAAACCCGTGTTTCTACGGAGCAAAATATTATGCTTCCACTGTGGACAATGGGGAAACCGTTCAACTTAAAATTCCGTTAAAACACGTCCGCCGATTTTATCGATGAACGAAACGATTTCAAGAGTATTTTTACGAATAAAAGTGACGGTCCCGACCATTTTACTTTAAAATCGTTTAACGCAAAATTTGTCTACCAACTGTGTTTACGTAAAACAATGTTCGTTGATTTAACTGCGACAATCGATTTTGTGTGCCAGTTCCGCGATCTGCCGTTGAAATTTCAATTAAAAAGTTGTTTGAAGACGCTTTTGATAATTATTTTTTGTTTACATTGGTAACGCGTCCCTCTGGTAAAACGTAGTCGGAATTATAAACGTGCAGCTGCCGCGCAAGTGACACTATTTGTCCTTGTCGAGTGCTGCCGTCGTTGCGACGCTTTTCCACATTTTCTCGCCAATATTATGTCGCGGACTCGCACGAACTGGAGGATAGAATCGGATATCACGCAACACGTTTCCGTCAAACGCGGGAAATGAACTCGGCTCCGTTCCCGTTTGTTTATTACATTTTTGTTTGATTTGTGTCCACGGATTTTCATAGCGAACGACACGGTAACTTTGACCCGTTCAGGAAAACTTTCGTTTCGACTTAAAAAGCTTCTCAAAGCTTGAAATTGTTCAATTCCACATTTTGTAAGCACTCAAATATTAGCCTCGCTCGATGTTATCAATTGATAAACTATCTTCGTTATCTGTAAAACATTCCTTAAGAAATAACTCGCACGTGTGCCGCATTTCGCTGTGTCACGAATTTTTCTGAACGTCGAGAAGAAGCGATAAGGCCGCGAAGCTCAACGCCTCACTTTTTCAACGTGACAGAGGACTTTAAGCGGATTTCTAACGAACTAATTGTGAGATTAAGATTAAAACTAGGACAGGAACGGGCTGACTCGGCTTGAGGGACGGGTGGATGAAATTTAATTGATTTCGTTCTCCCTCGAAGCTATGCAAGCTCCAGCCATGTTTATATTAGAGGAGAAACTTCGAAATATCAGGAACAACCTAAAAACAGAGCGAACGGAATGCTGATGGAAACGAGTTGGACATAATCGTATTTGAAACCGTGTTGTAGGAGTGTACCTTAGCAAGTGACCTTTAATATACGAGTGAAGGGGCCTTTCTACCTTGTGGGATTTAAAAAATTGAATTTTTATGTTTGCATTTTCTTTTAGTATGTAGTCACGAAAATATATCTACCAAATATTAAATTGAAATTTGAAAAACTAACGAACTTAGAGCCCGCTGAAATGTACCGCGCGCAGGTATAACAACTCGACGTGAAACTTTAACACTTTGACTGCCACGTCACCCATATATGGGTGACAAGACTTTCCCGCTATGGCATTAAAACAATTTATTCTGAAATTGAAATTGAAATGTTAAATAAATTTTTATACGAAGATTAAAAAATAATCAAATAATCTCTGATACTGATTATTTGATTCCCTGATGAAGCTAGCTGCAATGCTGGCGAAACGTCGGACTCTCTCGTCTTCTGAACGCGGCTCCAACCCGGAAGCCAATTCTAGTAGTAATCACTATGGCCGCGAAAGCCTAAAAAGTATTATCCTAGTTCATGCTATAACCACACTCATCTACATTAAGAATATCGTTGGTTTTTGGATTTCGAATAACTTGTTCGCAAGATATCACATACGCAGTCGAGCGCCGTTCGTAAAAACTGTTGTTTGTTGATCAACAAAAACAGCGTAATCAATAGATATTCTGCGTTGCAAAAATTCGTAAACATAGCTAAATATACAATAAATGTATCTACAAAACACGGAATTAATCGCTGTTTAATAGCCCGCAAAAACAGATCACAAAGAAACATGTATTTTTCGTGCCTACAAGGTAGAATGACCCCTTAAAGCGTCTGCGGATTCCCCGATTTCGACGACTCTACAAATATTTATCGATGATCATTGTAAGAAACGATATATTCTATCGGTACAATCTATATCATCGAGTTTCACTCCATATCAGTCAGTTTGCTACGGACGAAGTAATATTAAATGTCTGCTCAAGGCCATTTGGGGGTTGCTGTTTCCATACGGCCTATTTCTGTCTTTCCGCGTCAGAGATGCAAACGAACAGTTTGAATTTAAGCTTATATCGCACGAAAATACACTCTGTACAAATTCGTAGAGAAACTCCTACAGTCAACTTCGTTCCAGAATTAACTTATTTAATAAGCTAGAATTTTTTCTCATTTCGTACGAACCTAACCCTGACGATAATATACGTGTACAAAGATACTTTAATGTCAATAAATTTTATATACGCGTTACATGTTTTAAATGTATTTTTATTACGTTATCATTTTTGCTCGCGAAGTCCGAAAACCGCGTCTAAATTTCAGGTCCGAGAAGGTCAAGGTAGAGTACGTTACCTAAAAAATTGTTCGATAGAAAATTTCTATAGCTTAAGTGTCTCAAGAATCCTCGAGCACAAACTTTAATCACTGTAGGGGGGAATGGCCTTGAGCAGCCAACAGATTCGTACACAGCCGGACCATGCATCGAATTCTTCGGTGGGGCGTCGACTTTGGTCGACAGTTTACTTTCGTTTCTTTGGTTTCATTTTGTAGAGGAACACTCCATTCGGGAAACGTCCATTCACTCGTTCGATTCGCGGGTATAGCGTTTGAGCTCTCCTAAATCCGCCTAAGTACATTTTTCCCAATAATCTAGCAACCCTCACACAAAAATATCCCCTGCCCTATGTTTGCTTTCGACTTTAACTCACTTTCGTCGAGCGTATGAAACCATCCATCCACTCTTCCATTATTTCCAACAATTCCCTCTCCCCTTGAGCTCGTCTGGCTCCGCCATTACGCGAAAGTATTTCTCGCTTTCGATCGTCGAACAGCACCGCGTGGCTGTAGACTCTTCTTCGTCGAGAACAGTTCGAATTGCCCGGGAAAGTCAGGTTTCCCCAAAATACTGGAATTCTGGAGGTCGTTTCCGCGGCGTTCGAATCAGCGACGAAAGTCGATTCGCGTCATGGGCACGTAGGTGCGCGCCGTCTCTTCCGGTCCCACGAGCTCGTGAGCGCCGGAAATTGTGCTTCGTGGCGGACTGTGTCTGTCCGAGCTGCTTCCTCGGCGCCCGCGCGGCAAAACCTATATGTATCGCTGTGGATTGCAATGGTACCTGGTCATGCTCTTCAGCACCTTGCGCAACAGCTGTTGCAAGCAACGACGGAACGTGATCCCGCACATCGCGTACAGTAGGAAGTTGATGCTGAAGTTGGTGTAATAGAGCAGCATGAAGAACTGTTGCAGACACCAGAGCAGATCGGGCGTGTTCTTGCGCGCCAGGGTGAAGAAGAACACGCAGAGTCGGATCACGTAGCTGGAAAAGAGAACAGCCTTTGCTTGGATCGAGTAGGAACTCGAGGGCGCGGACGCGGGTCGTTGGTTCCCCATTAGCGATAAGCGGTTTCGAAAGTATTCGAACGGTTACGTTTATGATTTACGAGCGTCGATTGCTTGCACGGTCGTGGACAGGTGTATTAAGCAAATGAATCAATTTAATTTACGGATGACAATCACCGTGCATCTAAAGTTTCAATTCACAAAGTATGGATTCGTCGAATATGCATGAAAACCAATTGTAACGAATAGTATGTTAATTTTGGGTAGTCGAGAATTAAGTGGACGCTATAAATATTTCCAAAAAAAATAATTGTCTGGTAAAACGAGCAGAATCGAGTTGCAGGAGAGTGTTGTATGTTCAAAAGTGAGTAATAGAAAATGCGGAACAGAGTTAACAAGCGTGATGCGATCGGTTCGACGTTGCAAGTAGTATTGATCAACGTTGGACAGACGCGGCGTATGACCATTGACTTCGATACTACTGAATTTTATGATATTTCGGAGATAAATTGTTAAGGTTTGGAAATTTATTCCCCGTAATTAAACCGATATTAATTACATAACATATATGTCGAAGTACGGTTTTAATATTTCAATATTAATGGATAGAGTAAAAATCGATGGTCTGTATGAATACATTAAAAAAGAAGAATAAATACGAACAGAAATGAAAAATGAATAATACATGGAGGATGTTCTACTTTTGTTTTTCAAGATTAAAGCCAACGATGCTACTTTTTTTTATACTTAATTATCATTAAGCGTCATATTCTTGAATATTCATTTGTTAATAATTTTGTAACAAATAATGATCGATAACTGAAACCTTTTGAAGCTTAAATAGGAGAATGTCATCTACAGATCAAGGTCAAGGCCATCGTGGCTTTCTTTTCGATAGCGTGCAATTACTAAATGTCATGTTTTTCGCGAAAAGGCCAAGAAATAGATCAAAGGTGCAGAATTGAATTTTTCTATAACGCCACGTATCGAAGAAACCCCAGATTGAATGTTAACAGCGTATGAGTTCAAGCGACTATACATTGATTAATGGTTGTTTCTGCAATGTATTGATTCGATTCTTTCGTGCGTTTGTAAATATCGACAATGGTGTAATTTGTTTTCTATCGATTCTGCCAGGTATATTGCTTCATTTTCACGTTCCGCTCAGACGTTAACGTGGCACGAGACAATTGAATATTGCATAAAACAGTTTCTCGATTGCCATTTGTGTGCCACAGGCAGAAGATCCATCGGGTTAAATGACAAAAGGGCATGCACAACGTGGCAAACTTTTTCATCGAACAAAAGTTACTTTTAGTTTGCAATATCAGAACATTAAATATTTGAATATTTACAGGGCGTTGAACTTAAAATGTTTCGAAAAATAGAAATTTTCGGTCGCCGAAGCAGCTTACCTCGGTAAATTAAGAAGAACGAAGACGGTGCTTATCAGAAGCAACATTTTCGTGATGCTCTGCTGGTTCCTCGTCGATACGAGATTCCGCGAGGAAGATCTGATATCTGGAACAGAGAAAGACGGTGGGAAAAAATGCGTGATTATTACAGGAGTTCACGTACCGCAAGTTAATTTAATTTTGCGTTCAACGTCCAGCTTTTACCGCGCCAGCCGTGCACGGATTGCGAACATCGAAATAACTCGGGAGCCGCAAATTCTACAGCGGACTCGTTGATATAAAACTCAAAAAGTGGTAGAGAATATAATCTCTTGGCGAGCGTGGTTAGTTTTCCCCGCTTAAATATTTTAAACGGTACCCGTCCGTACGACGGGACGGAAAATCCAGCAGAATTTAATTAAACGTTAAAAACGTGAAGTTTAGTTATTGCGTTTGCCATATAACGGCAGCAGAGGCGTCTGAGAATTGAATTTTTTCGATCGAAAAACAAAAAGTATTCTCGTTCTTGGTCGTGTACTTTGTTTGTTCCGTTTCCGATCGCTTACACAATCTATTCTAACAATTGGCTGCGAAGGAATTCGTATTCCAATATATATTTTCAATATAAATTGAAAACCAAAGAAGAAAGAGGGAATCTCTCTTGTACCATTATTTTCACTGAAAAGGACCTGCAACGAAGTTGAGAACGTAATAATAAAGAATAATGAAATATTGTACAGGGTGTCCATGTAATCGTGATAGAGTTGAGATAATTGTACGCGAGAAAATAAGTCGATCGTTTGATTTGGAAGAAAGGGGGAGTCCCGAAACAGGAATGGAAGGATGATTTCAGGAAGGGCAGAGTTACTGATCGTCGAGGCGTCGAACCTTCTAAACCTTATAGAGTGTGACGATAATAAAAGAGGAAAACCATACTTACGTATACACCGGGATGCTACTTCGGGCAGCTGGCAGGCATTCCGCGGCGTGGAGAGTGGCGCAGAGTTGGTCTGTTGTCGAGAATTATGGGAATGGTTGTTCTTCGACGAGTGAAATGATTGTTGGGAGGGTGGCCTCCGACCTCCGACTATTGGACCCAGATTGATACCGCCAGCGCCATTGTTACTGCTGCTGGCACTCTGAAAATTAAGCCAGAATTTCGAACATTATCCTTGGAAGGGAAACAATGATACCTCCAAGCTATCGTAACCGGTTTGTATTATCAGCCGCATTGTTTTCGTCAGCCGATCGGCAACGTTCCGTTAAATTTTTGCCAACGATCGACGATTAATTTCGTTGCTCGTTGCAGACAATTAATCAAATTAAAATAAAACGAGAAACAACGTTTTGTACAATATTTATTTCGTTACGAAGATTGATTTCCCGAAGTATTATCCCCGTACATTCTTTAGCGGGGGCTAGGCGATTACGTTAGCAATCATTCTCAGTCAGAATCCGCGATCGTTTGTCTCCGAAAGTTGCAGTCTCATCCGAAATCCACCAAGACTCACGACTTCGTCCACTATTTATCATTTTCACGAACGACCCGGCTAATATTTTCGCTGGTGAATCTGTACTCTATTGCGACGATCTCGAGTTATTTAAATTCTTATCCGAGATGGACACCTCTGTCCCATCAATTCTTCTTACGCTTGTATTTACTTTCACTTTTCATCCTATATTTATATTCCCATACCATACTATTTCTCAGTTTCAACGAGACGAACTTTTACAAAAGTTTGGAAGGGTGTCATCAAATACAATTCGACGAATTCTTCTAGGGCGAAAGCTAGTCCGCCGGTTCGAGTATAAAATTCGCGATGGAAATGCACGGTTTTTGGTTGTTAGGCGTCTCGTCGTAGACAGAAAGCGTGCAAAGGGCAGGGAAATTTCGTACGTACGCGATGAGACCTTTATGCGAGGCGTTGACATGATACAGGATTATCTGGCGACCGTTTGTTATGCGCAGCGAGGAACTCGAAAAATATGACAGGGGATAAAGTCAACGCTTGGTCCGACACACCGCAACTTTGTTTATTCGTAACGTAACTTGCCCGTGGCGCAGTCGAGTTTCTAATATCTCGTGTCGTATTCCATGCAGAAGAGAACTCTATCCCGGGAAATACTTTGACAAGGTCGCGTCCTCCATGCCTTTCTAACCAAATACCGTTTACGTTACAAATAAATAAAGGACCCGTCACAGATCTTATGGAAAATGGCCCCCGGTTAAATTAGCTGAACTTTTGATACGATGTAGTTCATTATGTCTTGATGAAAAGTTCCAATAGGCCCAAGCCCGTAAATTGAGCAGTTTCCGAGATACGGGGGATCAAAAGTCAATAATATTGCGCCTTATTCTAGACTACCACGTTTGAGCATATTTGAGTGTAAGAAGCACTGTTGTACACTGTCCATTTATTTCATCCCTTAAAACTCAATAGTACTACTGTGGGCCCTTAAATATTACCCCTTGACCCTCTGGCCCTCTGACTCCCCTTCAGGAGTCAAAATAAAAAAATGCCAAAAAGGTAAAAAATGGTTCTCTTTTTCAATGTACAAACCAATGCACCACGAAGAGGTTGCTCGATCGGATTTTGCACACCATGTGGCTCAGTAGAGGGCTGTTTTTATAATTCTCTCTATTCGACCATAACAATCTCAATATTCATATTGTCTTGATGGTCTCTATTAGCGGCATCTCTGCTCGCATTTAGAAGATTGCCATCCGAATATTGGGCATGCCTTTAATGACAAGCAAATCCTAAACACCTTAAACGAGGCAAGATCATCGCCCAGGAACGTATATACAAATTGGGTTAAAGTCAATTATCAAATGCATACATTAGTTGTTTACGTTTCAAAGGTCTGTGCTATGGTGCAGTCACTATTCCGTTTACCCTTTGTTCCCCAGTCTTGTTAAAGGCGACGAGCGACGTTTCTGCGGACAAACGGAAATTGAATTTTCAGATATTCCCCGGGCTTGTAACTGTTCGCACGCTAGTTAATTATAATTGGGCTCGCCTTGGACCGTCCATGCTCGTAAATGAGAGGATATAGACGAGTTGGTTCGATTTAAGGGGGGAGTCTCATGTGAGACCTCAAAAATATCAAATTTTTGCTTCATTTTTTGAAAGTATATATATTTAAGAATGTACTGTTAAATTTTGAGAGATAAATGTCAAGTATTGTGGACTGTAGAACATTTTTTGTATAGCCCTCGCGGTAATTACCGGAGTCATTGCTTCGGGTGATTACCATGTACAGCCAAGACATTACTGTTTCGAAAGGTTTACGACAGGGTCAAGAGACATCTGCTGTTATTAAAAGTTGAAATTTGGGCGTTTTTGTCATCTATGTGGCAATATTCTGGAAGGAATTCTATATGGAGCTGAGATTGATGAGTATGATTTTGCAGACTTTAAATGAGTTTCTCTCGAAACGTTACTTTCTTAACTGGCGTAGATAAAATCTCAAAAACTATACGTTCGATTGCTTTGAAATTTTTACACGTTATTCTACATACTAACAGTTCTCGTCCGTACCAAAATCAAATTGTTATAATGAGTTTATCATATCTTTTTTATTAAAAAGTTGCAAAAGAAACGACGAAATTTTGCCATTTTTACTTTAAGCTTTCACCATTTTGTCAATTTGCAACATAAATTAATTATTTTGGTACGGGCGATAACTGTAAACCTACCGAATAAAAATTTTTCTGATTTTTTTGATTTAGTCAACCTTGAAAGCTGCAATCACCTACGCCGGTGTTTAAACACATGTTTGCGGCGGACGTGATAACAACATTAAAAGTTAATAAAAATTAATACAAAAATTATCTTGTATTCCCAAAGGATAGCTAAGTAAACTGCAAAAAGAATCATAACGTCACATGTAATATTTCCTTAAAAAAAAAATTAAGAAAAATGGTTCAATTTTCTATCATTCACATGAGACTCCCACTTTAATTGAACGGAGCCGCGAGAATTCGAAGAAATGTGATCGAGTTCACGTTTTTTTAATGCTCGAGAGCCTTTTCGCGCGAAGGTACCGGAGCAAACGTTTATAGTTGTCATTTTTGCAGTGGCAGGTAGTTTCAGTTAATTTTTGTTTAGGAGTGAAGGCAAGACATCAGTCTTCAAAATGAGACCAAAACGAAAATTTCATCTCGCTTCACTCCTAATTAAACAATGGAATGAAAATTCAAAACATTCAAATAAGCATAACTCAAGAACTATATTAGAAATAAGAATGAAATTTGCTACAATTCAAGTACATACTAAGTAACTTGATTTCATCGCTCGTCATTTAATTTCAAAAAACAACACAGATATAGACGACGAATTTAGTTTCAGACGATTTTGACATTGACCACTTCAAAACCGTCTAGTCGTTTCCAAAATTAACAAATCGTAAAAAAAATTATTTCAAATCATGATCCATATGTCCAGTTAAATATATGTGAATAAATTTTTTACTATGGGTATACTTTTTAAGCAATATGATTAACTTCTAACGAAATATCATGGACCGTCCGTATTGCAAATACGAGTGAAAAAAGCATCACATGACAATTATTAAATGCAATATTGAAAGTCATAAAATACCGCCCGCCTGTTATGTACAAAAACTTCCATCGCTCATCCTTTTTCCGTCGCGTTGAGTAATGTCACCTGAAAAATCCCGTACACCAGTAAAATACCAGTTATTAATACAAAAATATTTGACATTTTTATTCGGTCTAAGTGATAGCTATTTTAAAGGGAATAAACCAGTAGGCGCCAATTATCCAATTGCAGTACCTAAAAAGTATCTAAAACACTACTATCGTTACCTAGTTTGTAATACAGTGTAGTTTTGCAAAATGCTAGAAGCAAACGATTTTCTTGAAGAATTTTACATTATTTGTACATTGTTTTCTTTCGTTATTTTCTATTCTCATTCGCAGATACTTGCACGCTCACTATACAGTAGCCATCAACCATAAACGATGATTGGAATTACGCGATACCTCTGGCGAGACGAAATAACCCGTTCTAATAGATCTCCACGGGGTACCAATAATTTTTCACCCGTATTATCAGCTTCCCAAAACGTCGTCCCCATCGTTATTAATATCGCTAAATAGATATCCTATAGAAACTCGTATTAAACGTATCCATTGTTCAGTTTCCAAAGGAGACTCGTTTGAAAATTCTTTAGTACTTCGAATACTAGAATAGAACCATTATGATTCTGATCGATATTCTTAATTGCAAATCAGATTTGCGTAACATTATTCCTAGCGTATTCTTTTCAATAGATTTATCAGGCTCCGGTGGAATTAATAGAGATTGCGTTTCGAAAGAAAACGATCGAACATTGTCTTGGACGAGAACTATTAAAGTTCTCTTCTGAAAGGCTTTAGTAAAATGAACGCAGTTTCTGCCCGAAAGAATTATTCGATTCGTTTCGAACCGATAAGATCCTCCTTTCCCTAATTTGTTTATACTTCGTTAAATTCGGTGCAGAAAAATGCATCTAGTTAATTTCGTAAGAAAAGTCTCCGTAAAGATTTTATCAGGCTTCGTTTAAGATATAATATTCTGGCTTGAAAGTAAATTATACGAGAAAATTTCAGCAGCATTCTTTTTCTCCGATGATTAAATTCCTCGTAAGTCAAGCTTCCGAGGAAGTTTCGCCAAGCTTTAATGCCGTTAAAAAATGGCCCGCTTCCCCGCGACTTTTCTTCTCGCGAACGTTTGTCGGCGATAGGAAGTTCTGCATTAGGTATTCCATTACGACTTCCACCATGAGGAAGAGTAACAGATAACTGTGGACCTCTATACGGATGGAAAATTGTCGGAACTGGCGGGCTGCGGTTCATAGATTACGTCCCTCGACATAACTTAACGACTACTTTGGACGATCGCAATTTATCGTCACAAATAACAGCGCAACCTCGAGTGTATCGGCAAACGCGTCGTTTAATAATGAGAGAACGTCTCTTCTTTATCTTTCCTCGCGGCAGCAGGGACTACGAGATACTTGAGAGTACACGAATGTTGGCGACTCGAGAAGTTTGCGTGCTTCAAACTTCCAAGCGGCACGAACAATTACATGTAGGCAATTATACGTGCCGCCTTTGTACAATCGGCACCGC